GATACCCATCAGATATAACAAAGGGCGGGGAGGAGTTCTGAATATTTCCAAGCCTCACAGAAAGTTTGAACTTTGGGTGAAGTTTTGTGATGCCCCAGAAAGTGCTGCTTCTGGAAGGTATCAGCCATGCAAGATTTTCAGACGATGCTACTTACCCAGAGGTGAAAGTAAGCCGGTACGGTCTGGCGTACCGGCAAGAGCAGTTACGCTCTGCCGGACTGGACCGGCTTCCCCGGCGGTGATTTAAAGGGCCCGGTGCTCCTGCCACTGTGGGGAGCCCTGGGCCCTTTAAATCACGACTGGAGCCCTGCCACCCCGGGATGGCAGCGGCAGGGCTCCTGTGGTGATTTAAAGGGCCCGGAGCTCCGCGGCGGCCGGAGCCCCGGGCCCTTTAATTCGCCCCTGAGCTCCCAGCTGCCTCTGCAGCTGGGAGATCTAGGATAATTTAAAGGCCCCGCCTCTTCCAGTTGAGGCCATGCCTCTCCTGGTTGAGGCCACACCCCCGCTCAGGACTCCAGCGTACCAGTAAGTCCTTTAAGTTACTTTCACCCCTGTACTTACCACATTTGCAAAGACGAGAACTGCAGGACATGGAAAAGTCCCAAGAGGAGTAAAGTACACAGGCCACCCATAAGCTTCCAAAATCCCCAGAGCTGGCTTGGGTTGTCACCAGTTTTAATGGCCTCATTGGGGGCTCTGAGGACATTTTCTAAAGCTCTGTCGCAGGGACCAATGGGGAGAACAGACAAGAAACAAAAAAGGTACGGAGTGAGAATCCTCCACACGAGACTCCCCTAGGGCTGCGTACTAGATTCAGCTTACTAATGGCTATATTAGAACAGAGTATGGTAGGCACAAATGGCTCCTGTCTTCCCAATGGTCCAAACTCAAACCCCAGATCTCAACAGCCCTGAACTTTGCAATCTCTGAAATCCAGAGTGGACTTGGGGCCACCACTCATTCCCACCTTCATTGCCAAAATGCAAGAGATGAGGAAACCCCTTAGTATTGTTAGCAGTCTATAACAAGTACGCCGAATGAAGACATTTGCTAGACAGGATTTGGATTAGTCTCTAATTTCTAAAGTAGATTTTCACTCATTCTAACCCCCTCAGCTCACAGACCATAGACTGTCCTGTCATCTACAACCCATACTCCAGGGGTGGCCAACCTGCGGCTCTGGAGACACATGCGGCTCTTCAGAAGTTAATATGCGGCTCCTTGTATAGGCACCGACTCCGGGGCTGGAGCTACAGGTGCCAGCTTTCCAATGTGCCGGGGGGTGCTCACTGCCCAACCCTTGGCTCTGCCATAGGCCCTGCGCCTCCACTCCACCCCTTCCCAGCCCCACTCCTGAGCCTGCCGTGCCCTCACTCCTCCCCCACAGAGCCTCCTGCATGCCATGAAACAGCTGATCGGGATGTGCGGGAGGGAGGGGGAGGTGGTGATCGGCGGGGCTGCCGGTGGGTGGGAGGTGCTGGGGAGCGGATGCGAGGCTGTTGATGCATTACTGTGGCTCTTTGGCAATGTACATTGGTAAATTCTGGCTCCTTTTCAGGCTCAGGTTGGCCACCCCTACCATACTCGATGGGCATGACACAGGCCAGCTCTAGTGTATGGTGAACAGGTGCACTAGATTAGACGGCCAAAGAGAAGAGTGGGACTCTGGAGGTGTTCACCAAACACCAGCATGAACTGCAACTGCACTGCTCCTTCCCAAAGCGCACAGAGTAGTTTGAAGAGCAGAGGTAGAACATTACAGAAGGCGGCTAAGAAGGTACATTTCCAGCAACAAAGCGGGTTTCCATACATATAAGCACTCAGAATGTTGCAGGAATCACACCCACAACCTACTCTCACCATGGTAGCTACCCACAGAAGTGGGGGGGGGAGAAGGCAGTAAAAACAAGTCAGAAAGGAGATGCACATTACAATGAGTAAGAAAAAAAAACACTCCATTGCTACTACTATAGACAGAGGCAGCAGTGGGTTTCAACCTGTGGTCCGTGGATCCCGGGGGTCCGCAGACTATATCTAAGATTTTCAAAAGGAACCACATCTCCATTTGAAATTTTTTTAAAAGCGTCCACACATGAAAAAAGGTTGCAAACCACTGGCCTCCAGCTCGAACGATCATGAAATCAAATGCTGGGTCTTACTCAGGCAATTAATATTTCAAAAAGTCAACAGCTTGTAAAGGACTATTGCATGTCAACAAACACAATGACACTGCCCAGGCGTTCCCCACCCGCACTATGTCTATTAATGAGGGTGAGGGGTGTTACGCTTTGGCAAGTAGAGAGTCCCAGGTCTGTTTTCTCACATCCCCCAGGGCGGGCTGATAAAACACATTTGCTCGCGTTGCTGGGGAGGGAAATGTAATTTGTGCCTCGCTGTCTGTGCACTGGCAGCAGGATTTGGGATTAGAAAAAATTCCCCAACTGATTCTCCCAGGACAGGCCACTGAGAGGAAGGTTTAAGCGCAGAGATGCGGAAAGGTAAACATGCCATGGAGAATGTTGCTGAGTTTTTCTGTGCTCTTGGGCTATTCGGTTCGAGTTCTGTCTGACACTTCCTATTCTCCCCCCCCCCCTTGAAGACATATATCCAGACGGACTGAAAATTGACTCCTTTCTAGCTAGCAGTTTCCAGCATTTTTTTCCATTCTCTGCACCCATAACTTAGGACAGATTTCAATAAAGGTCCTTATCTGCATACAAAGACTCGTGGTGTCCCAGTTAATAGTGATAACTGTGCTACTAAATTCACATCACGAGGGTCACTCGTATTTAATCTGAAATCCTTCAATAACTAACTATTCAGTGTGAGCGTTTCCATACTCAGCGCAAGCTAAATACCTACAACCAAATGTGACAGCCACGCTGCTCCAGGGTCAATAAAAACAGAAGAAATACCGCGCAATTTCAGCACCGGCGCATCTTAAATTAAATTGGTTTTTAAACTACCATTGTTTAGTTCTGAACAGCTGTGCGGGAGCCCACGCTCCTAGTGGAGAGTTCTAATGTTCCCGGACAAGGTCCTTCGAGACTTCTGCAAGAGCAGGGGATGTAATGTTCGCCCTAAAGAGGAAATCGGACCGTTTCCCCAGACCCAAAATAAAGCGCTGCTCTCACGCTCAATTGCAAACATAATGCAGGTATATCATATAGTTTAAAATCGGTTGCTTTCAAAACATTAATCCATTGGCTCATCTACTCTAGAACCTGATAACCTGCAAGATGCTGAGATTCGCATGGGAGATGCTCAGAGCCCTCAACTCCCCACTCAGTGAAGCTTGCAGGAGCAGGTCCTAAATATGCCAGCGAAACTACTGTTCAGTAGAGTCTTTAGTCCTGCAAGAGTGGTCCCGCTGGACTCAGTGGGTCCGATCAGGGCACCCGTTGTTTTAAAGCAGAACCCCATTGTCTGCAAAGATATATTAATGCCGGGATACGGTCCAAGGGGACTAGTCCGCCCGAGTTAAAGACAGGGTTTGTGGGACGGGGACCTTTCTTTCCCAGCTATTCCTCAATCCCTGTTGCTATTTATCAAGCCAAGAAGAGCATGTAACACACTGCGTCCTGGCCAATCTCCTTACATCCAGGAACGGTGGCACTAGCATCGTTTTACCTACGAGTTTGGAATTCCTGGATTTTCTTTCAAAGAAACTGCAAAAAAAGGAGGAGTGTGTCCGGGGAGCATTTCCCACCAGGGAGTCTTCACGGAGCGCTCAGCGACAACCCCCCCGGGACAGTCGGGATCTTTACACTTCTGTTCACTCGCTTTCTGTTAACTCTGCCCTTGCCCCAGGGCTGTTAAGTCAGCAAGTCGGAGTAACTTTCCCCCCCGGATTTCTTGTAAACACACAGCGGTAAAGTTTTCCTCCAGAAAGCTGCGAAGCCCTCAGATTCGGGGCTGTCCCCACCGATCAGTGGGATGGTTCCGGACAGGGGCCGAGGACCTGGGAGTAAACGCAACTGTGCGACCATCAGGGAACCTGTTGGCTGAGCACCTGCTCATCTCGAGTGACTGCATCGCATAAGAAGTCACTGGGGAGCAATCCGTGCAAACCCGGGGAGAGAGAGCTGCCCTGGGGCACATGGATTTGCGGTGACATTTCACCTCGTGCCGGTGAGTTCCCCATTGTCACTGGGATTCGCAAACCTAGGGCTGGCAAAGCAGGAGAAATACAGATGGCTTCATACTTTCTACAACCATCCCTGACATCTCCCCAGGGCTGGCGGAGGCACTGCCAGACAGTCCATTTGGCAGCACTCCTCTGGCCACCCACCTCCGCCTGTGGGTGTCCCGGGGGGGGGGGTCACAAGCTGGAATGGGTCAGCTAGCCAGAGGGGAGGAGAGGCTATAAAGCATTCCCATGACCCGAGCCGAGAGAGAGAGGCAGGGCTGGGAGAGAAGGCGAGGGAGCCCAGCAGGTGGGTGGAGGCAGCAGCTGTCAGAAAACCCTTTCCCGACTGGGAAAGCTGGAGCTCCCCCGCCGCAGCTGGAGCGAGCTTTGCCAGGGGTCAGGCAGGGCTTGTGGGGTCGCCCCAGAGCTGACAGCTGGGACCTGAACGGGGGCTGCTATTTCGGGCGCACACACCCCCAGGAGAATGAACCCCAGGACCGTAGTGGCAGAGAAGGGCCAGTCCAGGAAGGGACTGTCACACCAGTGGGCAGTGTGGGAGGCGCCACCCCCCCCGAGTGAGAGATCGGGGGGCCCAGCCAGGTACCCAGCATCCTCAGTTTGCGACCTGGGGGGGGGGTCCGCTTTAAGTTTATTTGCGTAACTTTGCGCTGCCCGGATCTTTCCTCTCCAACGCCGCGAGCCAGGGGACGGAAGGCTGGGGACACGCGTGGGAATGGACACGCCAGCGAGCCCCATCCTCCCCGGGTCACACGAGAAACCCCCGCACCGCGCCCCCCCGTGTCCAGCCCGCAGCCTCGGGGAGCCACAACGAGGAAAACTTCGGGGGGGGGAGGAGGGGGAGGGAAGTTACCTTTGCACAGCAGGGCAGCCAGCGCCAGCGCCAGCACCGGGCACCTGGGCACCATCCTCTCTGCTCCATCCCCGGCAGTCATGGTGCGGAGTTATTTGCAGGGGGGCGTCTGAGTAAACAGATCCCCCTCGCCCGCTTTTTTCTTCCTTGTGGTTAAACCAAACCCCCCGGCAGAACCGGCTCCGGCCCGCCAGCGATCATCACAGCCCCCGGGAAAGCCGAGCCCCCTGGGGAAGGGCCGGGGCGCCGCAGCCCGTCATCCTCGGCGCAAGGCGGCTGGCCCCGCGGTCCCCGCTCATCCCAGCGCCGCGGGAAACCCTCGCCCATCCCCGGGCGCCGCGGCCGGCATCTCCTGCACCGCGAGTGCTTGCAAATCCTCCCCGGCGGCCGGCTCCACCCCGCCGGCGGCTTCCTGCTTCTTCCCCCGCCTGCGGCCGGAGCCCAGCCCGGGCGGCTGCTGCGCTCCAGCCAGGGACCGCGGCGCGCCCGTCTCACCTCCGAGCGGGGCGCATCTGCGAGCGGCGGCAGGATCCCTCCCCCCCCCCTCCTCCAGTGCTACAGCGCGGGGGGGCGGCGAGTGACAAGGCGGCAGGGCCAATGGAGGGGGGGGGGGCTGGGAAACGGGACAGGGGGGGGGGGGGGACAGCGGGCGGACACCCCGGGAACCCCCAGGAGTTGCGTGGGAGGGGAATCGCTTTTACCTGCCTGGGCTGCAGCCCGAAGGGGAGCGGGGGGAGGCAGCGAGGCTCTGGCTCGGGGAAGCGGGGGGGCTCTAGCTCACCCCGCGGGAGGAGGGCGCAGGACGGGGGGGTACGAAGGAGGAGCAGCCTGGGGAGAAGAGGGGAAGGAGGATCTCAGCCAGGCTGGCCCCAGCCAGGAATATAACCGTGGGGAGGCCGGGAGAAGCGGCTGCTCGGGAAGTTGTTCAACTCCGCCGTGCAGGGGGTGGGGGACACCCCAGCGCGCCTCCTCTGCCGGGGGGAAGCGCATAGACCGTACCCGGCCGGGGCTCCCTCTGCCCCGCTCGCTCCGGGCCGGAGGAAGAGCAGCGCTCGGTGGTTTCATACCAGCCCCCGGCTGGTCTCTTCGCCGCTCGCTGCCGGGCGGGAGGTTTGATTCCTGAGCAGGTGCGGAGTGGTTTGCGGTAGGAGAGGCCAAATCCAGCCCAGGCTCCCCTGAGGAGCTGAGATCCATAGGGCAGGACCGAGGAGAGGATTTCTTGGGGAGCGGGAGGCGGTTTTAGGGGACAGTCAGTATCAGCTTGAGGCTGGTTTCCCTCCAGGTTGCCTTTCTCCCGTCTCTGTCCCCTTAAAACTACTGTGGGGGCCCAGGCCACTTCCCAGCAAAGCCAGATACCCCCCCAGCAGGCGCCACTCCGCTGAAGTCACTCATTGGAGTTTCAACAGGTGCAAGAGAGAGGCGCAAACCAGGCCCAGGTTTTTCCCATTCCGCTATTGTCACAAAACTCCTCTGGGCCAGAGAGCACCTGGCCCCAGGGCTGTTTTCAAACCAGCTCCTCAGGCAGAGCGCAGTTAAGGCAGGTCCTGCTTTAAAAACAAATGGAGGGGAGTGGAGCCAGTGCTTCCTTTGAACCCACCTTAATTATATATATGTTTGTCACACTGCCTCTTTGTAAATAATGAGCAACCCCTAGCTGTTCAGAAGGTCCTCAGCCACCATGAAAAGCTGTCTCGCTGCAGACAAACAAAACCTAGTGCAGAAGGATTGAAGCTATTCTTTATTAACATGAGAGGAGCACTCAGGACAGGGCTGTACAGACATGTAGCAACACACAGCCCCTGCCCCCACAGAGATACAATCTGTACACAATAATCAGCAGGTGATGGAAAATACCAAGAACTAACCCCAAATGGGTTTTTTGCTCTCATTTCTCTGGGTGACTGTCCCCACCCCTCTTTTCATTGTGGTCACACTAGATTGAGTGGGCGAGTGGATGCCTCAGAGATAAGGACAGACATTTCTGAAGAAGCCTTTTATTAGCTAAACGTGTGGCAGCGCTTCTGTGGTGGAGGAGTGTAGAATGGCATGTTCCAGAGCGCAGCAAGAATGCATGAAAGCAAAGCGTCTGTTGGGCCTGGCTTTCCTTTCCTGGGTGCCTGACAGGGTATATCAAGTGCATGGTGTGACTCGCCAATGGGGCCTTTGCATGGCACCGCCAACCTCAGGAAGGATTCAGAGGCAGCTCTGGAGCATGGTAAGGGAATGTTCAAAAGCTGCAGCCACCCGCAGCCCGTAACTTTGCCTTCCGCCCCCAAAAGCAAAGCAAAGGGCAACGCTCCCTGCCTCCCTTAGGTGCCCCGCGCTCCCACCGAGTTCAAGCAATGCCACAGGGAGCCTTTTGTGGGCTGTAGAACGGATGCAAGTCGCTTAAGAACTACCCAAAATGGCAAATCAATCCTCTGCGCTTTTCGGTTCCTCTGGCTTCACAGCTGCACACCCTCATAGCAAGAATATCAAGCACTACAGTGGAAGAGAAACAAGGGACAGCGGCTGCCCACAGCACAAAGCTTCTATTCTCAAAGGGTTTTCTCCAGAGGGAGACAAGAGAGAGAATTCTACTTTTTGTTTTACTTTCATATATTGAAGTTGTTTTTCACCATCAGCATCGCCCTGAAAAATCCACCCCAAGCTAAACTCCATCGATCCATAGCAGCCACTCCTATGTTTAAAAACTACCTGCTCATCTTGCCCTATTTCTATGGCGTTGCCCCTTTTGACCCAAGCACCCAGTCAAAGTTTGGGGCCTGATGGGTGTTCCAATTGGGAGTAGAAATTGGTGGTAATCCGATATTTCTGTGATGTAGTGTTGTTTATTTACAAAGAAATGACAAAGTCCTGTGTCTCTGAAGCAAAGAGAATCAAGTAGCAGGAAATGGCTTCTTTTGCTTACAGCAAGGGCATGCTTTTCAGCCTGCACTCCTGACACAAAAATCTCTCCCCAGTTTTCTTGCAGGGTCAGCCGTCCTCCTTTCAGCTGCTCCTTTAGGTAGTCTCTCTCTCTCTCGCCTGTTTTTCTTGTCTGATCTCAGTTTCTTCATGTTCTGCCATCCTGCACGCACCCCCAAAACAATATTCAATCAAAGCTCCAGCATGGCTTCACACACTCCTTGTGTCTAAGGTGTGCGGCCTGTTTCCATCCCTCATCCGATCATGCCCCTGGGCAGAGTTCCTTGGGGCAATGTCCATGGACTCCTGAGACACCTTTGAGGAGCAGTGGGTGCTGTCAGGGTTTCTCTGCTCAGTGTCCCCCTCTGGATCCCTGAGTTTTAATCCTCAGTCCCCTCCCTATTTTTTCATTTGTTGTCCCCAGTGCTCACTTGCAGCCTAGGTCCAATAGCTCCTCCCCCTCAGTGGAGGGGGTGGGCCTATACTTTGGGCAGGCCCACATGTCCTAGTATATAGGTGGGGGGTTATGTTTTCAGTTATTATAACTGAAGGGTGAGTTCATATCTATCAACCTCAATCCCATAACATAGTGTCACCCAGCTCATAACGCTGGTTATCAAGAGCGGTTTTGTTTTTCAGATGGTCTCTCCCAGCCCATACAAGCCAAAATATAATTAACATCCCCTTCCCACAAAGGATGAAGTGACATCCACTGGATTTTATATAACTAAATATGTATGTGGTTTTCAAAAGTAAAAAGGGTCAGATTACATTCTAAGAGAATTTGGGGCATTTGATAGCATAATTTCTTTGCTTTCAGTACATAAAATACTAAACCATGTATTAAAACACTCCATTTGGCCATGAGCATCTTCAGAGCCACTGTTAATAGATGCCCAACTAAGTTTCAGACAAAAGAATTTGCCACTCCACTTGGAGGAGAATGTGTGTTAACAGCACACTGACAGCTGAGCATAGTCAATGCCGCCTGATTGATTTTTGTTTTTGAAGCATGTTCATCTACCCAGAAAAGCAGAGAAACAACAAGAGCTTCCTTCCAAAAGAACAGTGCAAGAAACCTCAAATCCCTAATCTACTGGTGGCAGGATGGCCAAACTACCCAAGGCAATGCTGCACAGAACTGAGATTAAATTCTGAGTCAGAGTCTGACCTCCCGTATATTCCATTCTTACTACTTAGTCTCATTTTATGCATGAAGCTAGAAGATTTCTTACCCATCTTTTAACTACAGCAGTTAAAACGTATAACGGCTCCCCCTACGAATCATTTTGCTGCAGTTTCAAACAGGGCTTCTTCTGACAACAGGCTTTTGGGAAGTGCTGTATTTATGCACGTTGCCTCTTTCCTAAGCATGCATTTAAAACTGCAGACGCTTCCAAATGCGAACCTAGGAACACACTAGAGGGAAAGGCTCTGCTAGTGAGTCTGAATTTTAAAAACACAGGATTTACTTATACAAATTTTGGTTCTGATGCAGGGATACAATAGGCTGCATTGTATTTTGAATCCTAACTTTAGTCACTAAATCCAAGCCAGGTTGTTTTTCAGTTCAATAAATTAAGCAGAGGTTTCCAAGAAGCAGCTGGCAAACTGGTGTGGATTTTTGATTCAACCTGTTTTGTGCATAAACATCATTCTCCTTTCCTTTTGCACAGCTTTTGTGGTTAAACATTTTTTCTTTATTTTTATTTTTTTGTCTGAGGGTTGCTACATTTTGGCAAAGCTTCATTTTTATTTCAAGATAAAATAATGAGTTTTATTTCCGAGGGGCTTTGCTCAGAAAGGGGAAGTATAACAAAATCCCCCTCTCCTGGGATCTATTTGGAAACAATAGTTAACAGTTGGGATAAAAAGGGCAAAACTACTGCCTATGAATTTGGTGCTCTTGAGAAGGAGGTGCTGACTTTACTGGTTAGACAGCCAGGTGCTTTGTAAACTTTAGCCGAGCAAGACAGCCCGGCTGTGCAATCCCAGCCTGGGTCCATGCCAGTAGAAAATCCCACTTTTGTCAAACTGGGCCAACTTGGTGCGTTTGTGAAACAACCATCTCCTAGGGCCTAGGTGGAGACCACCAAACTGATTTCACTGAGCCCCAAGTAGTACTGAGCTCCTGTTGGTAGCAGTAAAATGGTTTTAGTGCATTAGCCCACTGGGTCACCAAAT